TCTTCTGCAATACCTGGCCTGAGACTATACATACTAAAAATATTAACATACACTTGAACTAAGAATGACACTTTTGGAGAAAAAAAATCAAACAAAATATTTATTCATTAGAATGACATAATTAACAATAGAAATTACAAAAAAAAAAACACAAACAACCTAAATCCTTAAGATACAGATCTGAAACACTGCAAACATTAAGGTGGATTTTGAAAAGAGCATGCATTGAAATAGAAAACGTACATAGAAGAAGCAGGCTTCAAACTAGTACGAATAGTATGAATAGTATATTCTTTTACGGAGACAGTGCGCACACATTCACGGACAGAATACTAGAAAAACATGAAGACACCGTACCTCTGGGCCGGGAGAGAGCCTGGCTTTCTACTCCTGTACACAGGTACAGGCTTGGAGACCCACAGGGCGTCACTCTGAGTCGGCAGCAGCTCGACGGCGGTGTGTGTGCTCTTTGTGTTAAAGATATATTTCTTAGCACTTTTCAGTGCTTCCCCACATTTCTGCATTAAGCGTATATTCACTAATAAATAGACAGCAGCGCAATGTGGGTGAGGGGCAGGTGCGGCTGAGCGCTGGCCGGCCTTTCCCCAGATTCCTGGGTCACCAGAGCGGACAGTGGGTCTCTCCTTGCAGTGGCCTAGCGTCCTGGCAGGACACAGGCACTGAGAAAGGTTCTTCCCCTCTGAGAATTGATGGAAAGGAGCATCGCTGAGACTAAGCAAAGGAGGCATTATGCTTCCAGAAAAATCTCAAGGAAAAGTCCTGCAAGCAACAGTAATAACTGTTGGGTCGGGCTCGAAAGGAAAAGTGAGTGTGAGAGTCAGAGACGAAGTCCTCCCTGAACAGGGAGGCACCAGTCATTCTGGATATTAAGGATTTCTTAGAGACGGGGACATTCATGGGAAGTATGTTGACTAGGCTAAACCACTATTGAAACAGCATCCTGTGAAGTTACCCAAACACACACACACACACACACACACACACACACACACACACACACACACGCTGCCCCCTTGGAGTTCTGAAATCTTTCACCGGGTAACTCATCTCCATGTCGTTCTTTTATAATAAACGAATGGGATTCCAAAAGGTCGTTTCATGGTATTCAAACATTTCCAAGTAAAAATATGTAAACAACAACAATAATAAAGTAGCACAATAGATGTTGGTTTAAAGAGATGAGAAGCCAGAACATTGGAACTCGTATTTAAGTTTCTGAAAGATGCGGGCATATATGGAGGTCTAAATAAAGGCATGTACATATGTAAATATATTTATATATGAGGATGTAGAAATAGATCTATGTGCATATATGTACAGGTTTAGTATTAAGGTAGCAGATGGACATTGGGCCTCCAACTCAAGTACCCCCTCAATGCAAGAACACTTTGTTCTATTAAACTGGCATTCCATGAAGCTCACCTTCCCGACACAATCGCTGAAGACAAAGAGGGTACATAAGGAAATGTGGCGAAGAAAGCTGATGGAGACAAAAGATATAGTGTCTAGGGTCTTAAAGACTTGAAGGTAAACAAACAGCCATATAGCTCAGAAGCAACAAAGCCCACATGGAAGAAGCACACCAGCCTGTGTGATCATGAGGTGTTGAAGGGATCAGGGATCAGGCATCAGCAGAACAAAAAATCTTACCATAGTGAATGATGGAGGGAGTGCAGAGTGGAGACCCAAAGCCCATTAGTAGGCCACTGGAGATCCCCTTGCAGAGGGGTCTTGGGGAGGAGATGAGCCAGTCAGGGTGCGATGTAACAACGATGAAAAATACAACCTTCCTCTAGTTCCTAAATGTTTCCTCCCCGCTCCTACTGCCATGACTCAAATCCGACCTTGCAAGTCTGGCTAGACCAGAGGATGTACACTGGTACAGATAGGAACTGGAAGTACAGGGAATCCAGGGCAGATGAACCCTACAGGACCAGTGGTGTGAGTGGCGAAACAGGGTGGGTAGAGGGAGAGTGGGTAGGAAAGAGGGAACCGATTACAAGGAACTACAGTATATGCGACCTCCTTCCTGGGGGATGGACAACAGGAAAGTGGGTGAAGGGAGACGTTGGACAGGGCAAGATATGACAAAATAACAATTTATAAACTATCAAGGGCTCCTGAGGAAGGGGGGAGTGGAGAGGGAGGGGGAAAATGAGGACCTAATGCCGGGGGTTTAAGTGGCGAGAAAATGTTTTGAGAATGATGTACAAATGCGCTTTACACAATTGATGTGTGTATGGATTGCGATAACAGTTGTATGAGCTCCTAATAAAATGTTAAAAAAAAAAAAAGTTTCTGGAAGATGAGGGATCAGCATCTCATAAGTTCAGTCTTGTCATTTCTGGGCTTTTAGATGTTTCAGCTTCCTAGCTCTCTATCATCAACATTTGTAGGGATTATTTCACCTTATGCATCTGGATTTTTAGAAAGGGGAGGGAGCAAAACATTTTTTTCAAAAATCAAAAAAGTCCCTAAACTAACCCCTTACAGTCGTGGTGGTTCCATGGAGTATCATATAGGTAAGAAATCTCCAGGCGTCTAAGGAAGTACTTTTTAAATGCTATTAATCCTTTTAGGTTAACGTATGTACAATTGGTAAATGGCTTCCACGGCACACAATACAATGGGGTTTCAGAAAGTTCGCAGACAGTATTATCTTTTCATTCCATGTTCCCACAAACTTTCTGAAGCCACTTCAAGGTCTGCAGAATTGTAAGGCTATCCCAGTCTGTGCTAACAGCGATTAGGAGCAACCCACGGAATAACGGAAGACTCCACGTCACGGCCGTGGAGTCCCTTCCACCCCACATGGACTCACCACGACAGGGCAGAACTGCCCCCCCCTCGAGGATTCCAACTTGGAACTCTTGACGGAGAAGATGGTCTCATCCTTCTCCCATGCCACAGGGGGTGGGTCCAACTGCTGCCCTTCTGGTTAGCAGCTCAATGTGCAGCCCACCACGTCATCAGGGTTCCTGAAGGAATGACAATTTTGGCCCACTGCTCTAAAAGCAAGACTATAATATATTAATACACACACACACCCATGACTGAACATGTAACCAATACTATCACAACTACTGAAAAACAGCTATGAGACAGTGCATCATGAAATGGGGGGAGGGGGCGAGACACACACACACACACAAAAACCCTGACAACTTAAATGCATTCAGATTAGTTTAATAGTGAGTAAATAAAACTCCCCCAAATCACATTGTTATGTGTGAGGTAAAAGGAAAAACCTTAAGTGTACTTCCCATGTAAATTTAGTGACTTATAGTGAAATTAAAGCTTAAACGTTATCGTAAATTGACTTTATTTCTATCGTAAATTGACTTTATTTCTAGGCTTTATCAGTAACCCTTTTGGAATATTGTTCATTTGAATAAGTACTTTGCAAAGCACATGCTTTGAAACAAATGTCCCATCTTGCCAAGTTAATAACCATAACAGTTATGCAAAAATCAAACTGAATTTCCAGATCTAACTGCAAGTATTTCTTATCTAACCCTTTTGGGACCAAATTATTTTTGTCTGTAAGATTTTGTAGCTATGCTTTTTCCCCACTAATGGAATCCATACTGAATCACTTAGTGCTTAAACATTTTGTTCGGTATGTATGATGCACTTTGATGGATCTTTTGCGAGGCATTTAGGCCCCCTTGGACTCAGGTGGTAGCACGGGTAGGATGTGGTATGAAAGAGTCACTTATATATTACCTAATGGGCATGTTGTCGGGAGACCAGTCCTGGAGAAGAACATCATGCTCGGTAACCTAGAGGGACCGTGAAAAAGAGGAAGCCTCTGTGGATTTGTTGCATAGGGGGCATTGCGTTTATGTCGAATGTGATAGAATAATTTGGAAAAGATGTCAACAGTGGCTGTACAGCACGAAGAATCAATGATTCTGAATTATACAAGTAGAAGTTGTGGAATTGGAGAATGTTGTGCATATTTTTGCTACAATTAGAAAAAAATTATATGAATAACTATGACTACAAGGAAGAAAAAAATGTTCTAGAATTGAATATTATGAAAGTTATACAGCTCTTCTTGGTATGATTGAATTACTGAATGGTATGACAGGATACAGTGCTAATAAAAACTGTTAAGAGGCAGGTCCTCCACAAGACGGCCTGGCACAGTGACCGCAAAGGGACCCAACCCTTACACTTGGTAGACAACAAATATGTTAACGACTGAATCACAGAAATGATTCCTGATGTCCACTACAAGCCAACCCAACTTCACTTCATATACCAATATTTCATGTCTCACCAACAAGAGCTGTTCCTGAACACTAGAAAATACAGTTAACTGTACTATAATGTACATGACTCAGCAAACTGAATGACAAAAAATTGCTTTTTACTCTTGAGTAATTCAGATCCTATTAATATTAAAATTGGCACAACTGTTATTAAAGGCAAGAGCGTGCGCGTATTATGGAGGATTAAATTTCACGTATTCCCCAGTTCTTAAAGCTACGAGTGTGGGAAATCAGGGCCCATCGCACAGGTGCTGCTTTCTCCAGACCCTGGTGCACCCTGCAGGCACTTGTGCAGGCATATGCTGGCGGGGCTCGCAGATGGAGGACATGAATTATCTGGTTGGTGTTCCCATCTTGTCCGTTCAGCTTCAAATACAACTGCATTGACCTAGATGAGTCAGCATCTGGTTTTCCAAAAGCAAAAAGGAAGAAGTTCACACTTCACAGGCCTGAATTAATGCCAGAAGATTCCAAGTTGCCTTGAGGTTTCCCAGAATCCCTGATGAGCTTTAGCTCCCTGGATACCAAGGCAAAGACAGATCTGGAAGCTGCAGAAAACCAGGTGGCCTGTCATACACAAGAGTGCAGCCTCAGGCAATATAAACGGAATTTGTTCACACCGTGGATTAACAGCTTTGGAGGATCAAGCTGCAACTACAATCAACATTTAAGAATGTTTTTATAATAACAATGCACTAAAAATGTGAATAAGTCATGTTTTTATTTTTCAGAAGTGAAAATGACATGTGGCAACTTGCCCATGGAGAAGACATTAAAGAATATTAGGGTAATAAACTACCTATCTCATAGAGCCTTAGGAAGACTTTATTGTCATACAGCTCTCAAATAAAGTCCTATTAAATAAATATCGTAATAGTATGGCCTTTTAACTGACACAACAAAACAGAATGATCAATAACCAAAACAATTATATAAATGCATAAACTGGTATGAGAAGGAGGAAAGAGTCAAATTTGGAAATCCATGCACTGGGAGGAAGTCCTCTATGAAAACAAGGAGACTCGAGTCCTGAAATAGAAAAAAGGCAATATGTTAAAATACAGTATTTTAAGAGTTCAGCAGCAGACGCACATGGCAACACTTCATATACTCAAGGCATTATTTTCCTTCCTCTTGAAGTACTTCTATGGACATAGAGAGATCTTATGAATGACAGTGCAGACACCTGCCTTCTCAGTGGGTTCTGCAACTTTTATAATTCAACTCTAAGGGTGGAATACCATGACAATGTTTTTATAATAGACTATAGTGAGCAGAGTGGGTTTTTAATTGTACTTGTTTAACTGCTTTTCGCATGATGGTCTAAAAACAATCCTTCTGCTTTTGAAAGAGACACACATTTAGAGTAAAAATAATGTCATGTGCAACCATACAACTCTTCTCCCCAAGAATACAACCACAACAGCCTGTTGCGCTCCAATGGATCTGGCACACAGCGGCTCTCTAGGACGGAGTGGGACTGCCTTGTAGGATTCTCAGGGCTGGAATCATTGGAGAAGCAGATCACCACAGCTTCCTCCCATGAAGTCACTAACTTAGAGATTCCAACTGCTGACTGCGGGGTTAGCAACTCCACTGACCACTCTGCAGGGCAAAAGGCCTGGTGATCTGTGCTCATCCAGACCACAGCCTAGAAAAGCGCACGGGGCAGCAGTGCTGCTACCGTCCTGAACTGCATGACTCATTTCGACTCAAAAGCACCTAACACAACACTGACCAAGACAGATAGCCTATCTATCTGCCTCTCTCTGTCTGCCTGTCTCCCTCCCTTCATTATTCTGAAAGCTTACCAAACTCCTGAGAAAAATCTAGTACCAGGAGACTGTCTATTGGGAAAAGAACCTGAAGAAGAGTAATGAAAATATATGCTTACAACAGTGAATCCTAGCAGAGCTAAAATTAAACAGTGCTGCCTGGTTTTTCTGGGTCTGGGTCTCTTAAGTTTCCTGCCTTTGACCAGGGTATAGCCTTATGACTTTTCTACGTACAGCTCCTTGTAGTGGGAAATGTTTGCATTTCCCTTCTCTGACAAGTTTCCACCTTATACAGGTTTCTGCTTTTGCAGGTTCGAGTGTAGTGGCCTAGTGACCCAGAAGACTGATGATGTCTGACATCTCCAGGCTCATTACCTATTTAAAGCTAACATCAATCAATACTTCTGCTAACCAGGGTCAAGCTCTAGGTCAGAACATGTGCTTACAGGCACCAGTCTAGGTCCCGGACTCTTCTCAACGTTCAAGTTCGAAAACGAGATGAGAAGACAAAGAATGGCTTAAGGGTCTGTGCCCTGTAGGCAAGAAGGACAGCAGGAAATAGCTGCTGTATTGAACTGTGTGTAACCCATCATTTTATCATGCCCACAAGACTACGAAGCATCATTTTACTTTGATATAATATTTTCTTGTGAACTTTGTCTTCTCTGCAAAGAAATATAATCTGCATTTGGAATAGCAGGTGTAATAGACATCCCTCCCACAATAAAAAAATAATAAAAATTTCAAAAGATTACAGATGCTTTCTAGACCTATGTCCTGAAACATAAAATGAGAGGCTTATACAAGTTAATTTCAAAACATTTCTTAAGTTTATAAATTTCACATAATTTTATACAGAATAATAATAATCAAGATTGGATATGCTTATCACTTACTATTTCTTTTTGAAAATATTTATGGATATTTATGGATATAACTGTGTTTTTCTAAATGTTTCATTAGTAATACTCAATCTTGTGAGTCTGGCTCCATAGTAGTCTATAATGTAACTGCTTCCATCTGACGGTCCAACAATCTGGAAAAGAAAAATTTCAAAATTACTTATTTTATAAAAGATATAGTAAAAAAAAAGATATAGTCAAAATTACTTCTTTTATAAAAGGTATATTTTATAAAAGATATGAGTCACTTTTATTAGGTGCCCAAAGCATAATACCTACTCACTTACTATCTCATTATCCAACATTTTACATTTACAACAATTTTGTAAAAATCCTTAGGTGGACCAGTGGTGTGAGTGGCGAAACAGGGAGGGTAAAGGGTGAGTGGGTAGGAAAGAGGGAACCGATTACAAGGAACTATATGTGACCTCCTCCCTGGGGGATGGACAACCAAAAAGTGGGTGAAGGGAGACATCGGACAGGGCAAGATATGACAAAATAACAATTTATAAACTATCAAGGGCTCATGAGGAAGGGGGTAGCGGGGAGGGAGGGGAAAAATGAGGACCTAATGTCGGGGGTTTAAGTGGAGAGAAAATGTTTTGAGAAGGATGTACAAATGCGCTTTACATAATTGATGTGTGTATGGATTGCGATAACAGTTGTATGAGCCCCTAATAAAATGTTTCCAAAAAAAAAAAATCCTTAGGTGGCTCCTCTGATGGTCCAGGGTTACATGGGGTTATGACCAAGCCATAAAAGGACTGGGGGCCAATGGGCTGTGGACCACCTTGCCCCGCTTCTGAAATATCCTGATCTCATCAAGGAACGTGGGTGGGGAAAAAGAGTGCAGGGCAATGGTCGGACAACACAAAAATGTGGGCAGGCAGGGGGAGACTAGGCAAGGCCCCAGAGGCACCAGGAGGTCTACACGGGAAGCAGGGACAGGGAAGTAGAAAGGGAAGTACACCCAAGACTGTAGCAGATGGAGGATGCACAGGTCCTTGCCTGGGGTGGCTGATCAGCACCACCATTACCTCCTCAACTCCAGCACACTCCACAATGGTGGAGGAGGCCTACTGAACTGCACATATCTGGAGATGTGTAGAGGTTGGATGGGGGTGGGGGGCACTGGCAACAAAGATGACACAGCCACTGAATCTTACATAAAAGCCAAGTCTTTGAAGTCAAACCAGGTTAAGGGATGAGCAATGGAAATCTTTGAAATCAAACCAGGTTGATAAGTAAGGGATGAGCAATAAAAATCTAACTCAAACCAATATAAGCAAAATAAGTTATCTTATGGCTCCTATCCTTAGAAGGGCACTGGAGTAGCTCATGGATCAAAAGAAGGGCTGCAGAAACTAAGGCCTCAAAATTGGAAAGGCCTGTGAGGCTCTTGGTTTGGCCTCTTTAGCTCTTCACTTAACTCTGCTTGTCTTCATTCTGCAGATAGCAACCATCTTGATACCTGTTGACTGCCTAACATTCTTGGATTTACATCTTCCAAACTCAGTAGCTTCTAACAAAAAGCAAATGATCCGGATCAGTGTTTATAGTCCAGTTCCAGGGAGGGGTCTTGGAAGGTCCTTCCCAATTCCAGAGAAGGGCTTTCCACCACTTGTCTGTCCATTGGTTGTACTGTGGTGGCTTCGTGTTGCTGTGGAACTGGAGTCTATGTCACGGGTACTTCAAATGCCAGCAGGGTCTACAGGTTTCAGCTGAGCTTCCAGACGAAGAGCAGACAACGAAGGAGGACGTGGCTCCTCACTTCAGAGGAGGGCGCTGAAAACTATGCATCGCTTTGAAACATTGTCAGACATGCAGGTGTAATGAATCGGAGCAGGACATGGTCAGAGAGAGTGCTGGAGGGCGGGCCCCTCAGCGTGGAGGGACTCTGACTGTGACTGAGGGGTTGCTGATTTCGTGGAACGGGGTTAAGCAGGGTGACGCCGAGTTGGTGGAGCCTTTGAGATCTTCCTCTGCTGACAGGGCAGGACTGAAGGGAAGAAACAGGACCTGTAAAAATCTAATGTTCGGAACATGGAACGTGCAAAGTATGAATCTAGGAAAATTGGTACTCATCAAAATAAAAATGGAATGCATAAAGATGAATATCCTAGGCATGAGTGAGGTAAAATGGACTAGTGACCACTCTGCATTAGAAAATCCTGTGAAATTAATATGCCAGAAATAACATAATCAAGAAGAATGGTGTGACACTGTCAAAAAGGACACTAAAATCAACCATGAAGTATACTGCTGTCTGTGATAGAATTTTATCTATCTGCCATCAAGGAAATATAATCAATACAACTATTATTCAAATGTATGCACCAACTACAAAAATTCGTGATGAAAGAAAATTAGTGATGAAGAAATTAAAGGATCCTACAAATGCAATGATCATCATGGTGGCTGGAATAAAAGTTGGAAACAAAGATGAAGGAACTGGCGTTGGAAAATATGGACTTGATGATAGAAAGGAAGCTGGAGATGATATAATTTTGCAAAACCAACAATTTGCTCATAGAAAATACTTTTTTTCAATAAACAAAAGGCAATTATACACATGGACATCTCCAGATGGAATACACAGAAATCAAACTTGAAACAATGGAGCAGCTCAGCAGCAGCAGCTAAAACCGGGCCAGTAACTGATTGTGGAATAGACGATCAATTGTTTATATGCAAGTTCATGTTGAAGTTGAAGAAAATGAAAACAAGTCCACGAAAGCCAAAATACAACCTTGAGTCTCTCCCACCTGAATTTTGGGAACATCTAAAGAACAGATTTTATGCATTCAACATTAACGACAGAACACCTGATGACATACGGGAGGACATCAGGACCATCGTTGAAGAAAACAAAAGGTCATTAAAAAGACAGGAAAGAAAGAAAGGATTAACGGGGATCTCAAAAGAGACTGATTTGCTCTTAATTGTAGAGCAGCTAAAGTAAATGGAAGAAAGAATGGAATCAAAGAGCTGAATAAAAAAATCTTTAGGGCAGCTCGAGAAGACAAAACCAAATATTATAATGTGCAAAAACCTAGAATTAGAAAATCAAGCAGGAAGAACATATCTTAAACTGAAAGGACTCAAAATGAAGCCTCAAGATGCAAGTTTGAAAGATTCTATGGGGAAACTATTGCAGGAATGATGCAAGAAGCATCAAAAGAAGATAGCAAAAATACAGTCACTGTACCAAAAAGAACGAGTTGACATTCCATCATTTCAAGAGATAGCATATGAGCAATAACCAATGGTGCTGAAGGAAGAAGTTCAAGCTACACTGAAAGCATTAGCCAAAAACAAAAGCTCCAGGAATTGGTGAGATACAAATTGAAATATTTCAACAAGCTAATGTAGCACTGGAAACACTCATTTATCTATGCCAGCTAATTTGGAAGACAGCTACCTGGCCAACTGACTGGAAGAGATCCATATTTGTGCCCACTCCAAAGAAAGGTGATCCAACAGAACACTCAAACTATTGAACAATATCATTGACATCTCATGTCAGCAAAATATTGCTGAAGATCATCTAACAATGGTTGCAGCAGTACATTGACAGGGAGCTGCCAGAGGTTCAGGCTGGATTCAGAAGAGGAGGTGGAATAAGCAATGTCATTGCTGACGTAAGAACGATTTTGGCTTAAACGAGAGAATATGTTTGTTTACAGAGGATGTTTACTTGTGTTTTACTTCCTATGCAGAGGCATTTGACTGTGGACCTTAATAAATTATGGATAACCTTGAGAAGAATGGGATTTCCAGAATACTTGACTGTGCTCATAATGGATCCAGAGGCACTTGTGCAAACAGACCAACGACTTACTGCATGGTTTAAATCAGGAAAGAAAGGTGTGCGAAAGGGTTATAGCCTCTCCACATTTGTTCATTCTGTCTCCACAGCAAATAATCAGAGATTACATGAGGAATGTGGCATCAGGATTGGAGGCAAGTTGATTAACAACTCGCAATATGCTGATGACACAAACTCTCTTGCTGAAAGAACTGACAGCACTTGCTGACGAAGATCAAGGATTGCAGCTTTCAGGATGGATTACCACTCAACGTAAAGACCAAAATCCACACAGCTGGACCAACAGGTCACATCATTGATTAATGGAGAAAAAGTTGAAGTTGTCAACGATTTTGTCTTGCTTGGATGCCCAGTGAATCCTTATTGGAGGCAGTAATCATGAAATCTAAAATGAGTTGCATTAGGTAAATCTGTTGCACAAGACCTCATTAGAGTTTTGAAGGGCGTTACTTTGAAGACTAAGGTCTGTCTGACCCAAGCCTTAGTATTTTCAATTGCTTCATATGCATGTGAAAGTTTGACATTGAATAAGGAAGACCAAAGAAGAATCAATGTATTGGAACTGTGGTGCCGGAGAATATTCAAAGTACCACGGACTGCTAAAAGGACAAATAAAACTGTCTAGGGAGTATGTCCAGCGTGTTCCTTAGAGGTAAGGATGGCAAAACTGTGCCTTTCTTCAGGAGAGACCAGTCCCTGAAGGGGCAGTGAAAAAGAGGGAAGTCCTCAGTGAGACGGACCGGCACAGTGGCTACCACAGTGGGCTCCAGCACAGGGATAGTTGTGAACGTGGGGCAGGACCAGGCAGTGTTTGTTCTGTTGTGCACAGGGTCACTGGGGTTGGCACGGACTCGGTGGCACCTAACAACAACACAGGAAAGGCCTGGACTGATCTGCTCGGCTCCTGATGGGTCAATTACTCCATATGTGGGAATAGAGTTAATATTATTCATTCAAGCCTTGGTTAACGTATCCATCATCCATGAAGGAGATGGAGCAGTGTGATGGAAAGTCCCACCAGAACCATGTGAAATGGAAAAGAAATGGGTAGAAAGAAACAATACATGTTCACTACAATTAACTTGCCCCCTTAATCACATTTGTGGAAACCTACTTTCTATGGTCTCTACACACTATACACTATCTTTTAAGGTAGCAATCTTTACATTATAGCCGTGAGGGTGAACAAAGATTAACCAAAGTTATGTGCACCTAAAGAGTTTTTAAGGGCACCCATTTGGAGATCCTTAATTCCCACTAACAGACTATGTAAAAGCGGTATCTGACAATATGCTTCAGTGAGGG